GATATATCACAACACATACAAAAAAAAGATATCACCGTTTTTTTTATCTTGAGTTTTTTTTTTTTTTTGGGGGGGGGGGGGGTGGGATTTGTTCTATCATGTTTTTTTTTTCTTCTTTTCTTGGAAACATAAAAATGGTATTCTAATTTTAGATTTTGAAATGTTTATGTTGCAGATACTGGTGAAATTTTATTCTCTGCAGACATTTTATGTTTTTAAAGAAATTTGTGTTAAATGAAAACTCTTGTTTTTTCCCACTTTTCCCCTTTCCGTCTCGCGCTTATTTCTCAGGTTATGGCGGAGTGGAGTTACTGTTGGTGCTGTGGGGCCTGGACTTCTCTCTGCCCTGCCCCCGCCACTGCATCTGCTACACTTCACCTAGCACCGTTTCCTGTCAGGCCCACAACTTCCACGCCGTGCCTGAGGGCATCCCGGCTCAGAGTGAGCGTGTCTTCTTACAAAACAACAAGATCCAGAGGCTGCTTCGTGGCCACTTCTCACCCACCACCACCATGCTGTGGCTTTACTCCAACAACATCTCCTACATACAACCGTCCACCTTTCACGGCTTCGACCGGCTGGAGGAGCTTGACCTGGGAGACAACAAGCACCTGAAGGCCATTGCTTCAGACACCTTCGTGGGTTTGGGTCGGCTACATGCCCTGCACCTGTACCACTGTGGCCTGATCAGCCTGCCTCCAGGGATCTTCGCAGGCCTGAATAACCTGCAGTATCTTTACCTGCAGGTAACTGGATGAGATCCAACTATTGTCTCTGATGTTTATTACATCTGTAGTAAATAATGGTGTACAGTAGTCCCTCCTTTATCGTGGGGGTTACGTTCTGGAAGTGAAAAACTGAAAAGTAGGAATGCTATATTTATTTTAGTATTTAAATATATTTTAAGACTTTAAACCCTTCCCGCACTCTTGCAATGTTCTAAACTCTTAAACCTATATCATTTTAACAACATACCTATATGTACTGTACAGTACTACAAACCTACCTTGCAGCCATGAAGCCCACCACCCCGTCCAGCTTGATGTGTGCGTGGATAATAGAGCTTCAGGATTATTTGCGACTTTCCTGCCCGTTCTGTGAGCTTCATAGATAGCGTAGATTTACATTGCAAAACTTTCCCTCCATTTGGTAGAAAGCAGCAGCCAGAAGCACTGTTGGCTTCTGGGAAGTGTAGTTTTTTTGTTTGTTTGTTTGCTTTTTTGATTGGCCTTACAGTGTAGGGTTATTGAAAGAAAACTACAAAATGGCGAAGCTTGTACCAAGTTGTTTTTTTTTGTTTGTTTGTTTGTTTTGTTAACTTTTAATCCCATTCCGTCCCAATCACGTGAGTTATATTAAAGTTGACAATCACTGAAAAACTGCTAAAGAGCGAGTCAGCGAAAGTCAAACCTCAAAGTATCGAAGGACTACTGTACTCTAGTCTCGGCTTTACTGCCAGTAAACTTGACTTTGACCAAATGTTTTCAAATGAATTCAGAATTCAGATAAAAATACATAAATACTACTAGTCTACAGAGGCCCTGAGATGCAAAGCAGCACCAAACAAAAACAGTGCTTCATATTATAAACATATGGAACACTCAAAAACAATAGTATGCATAATGAGAAAATAGATACAAAAAAACACTGAAAAAAGAAACTTCAGCATTTTATACATCTCAGTGTCAGGATTTGTTAGTCAGGAATGAACCCAATGTGCAGACAGGACTCAAACTCGGCAGATTACAAAAATAAGTATTTTAATGGTGGAAAATGAACAAAATAAACAGCTGACGTGGCAGCAAAACTTACATATAAATGGAGGACTCAGAGGGAAACTCAGGGAGGACTCAGGAGAGCTCAGGGGAGACGCAGGAGAACGCAGGAGGACGCAGGAGGACGCAGAGACCCAACGAATACGACCCGACGAGCAACAACACAGAACAGACAGCT